GACCACTGGCTATTGTAGCCATTCTGCCTGCTGGGTGGCAAATCCTCGTGGCTGGCACGTTAAAGGCAGCAAGTCCTATAGAGCAGATGCTGTTATCAGGAAGCTGCACTCAGCCTGTTCAACACTATATGGAAAACTCTCATTTTGTAATGAATGATGAAATCCAAGCGCGGGCTGTCAGGCCGGGGGGAGCGGTGATCGTACTGCTGGCAAACACCCTTCTGGGAGCCCGAGGCCCTGCTCTTTTTGACTGTCACATAGCGTGTTGGGAATCGTCCCCGGTTTGCTGGCACCGTGCTGTGACCGACCCTCCCGCCAGCAGTGGCACGACGCTCCCCATGGGCAGCGAGGGCGTGATGAGCAGCACACCAGCCTCTGCTGGGGCGGCGGGAGCGGAGTGGGTCCCTGCGAGGCAGGGGCGGCATGGACCCCCCCCAGCCACTGCTGGTGTAGGAGGGCTGACCTCTTCCCAGGGCACAGAAATGCACCTGAAACCTCCCGATGGCAATTCTGCAGCTTGGAGGAAAATGGAGCATGGCAGAAGGGAGCCTGGAAATCAGACTGAAGAGCAAACAGGTGAACGACTGCCACTGAGCCAAAAACCAGCTCTGGCTTGGGCAAACCCCCTGTTCCTGTGCTGGGGCTGTGACTCTGACACCCCTTACGTTTGTTTTTCTGCTCTCACAGTGACTTGTCTCAGCGCCAGACCCATTTGCTAACGGGCTTGCTAAACCCAGCAGGCTAAAGGCTGAGAGGGGATATGACTGTTCTCTATAAATACAAGAGGAGGTAAAAACCACCAGCAGAGAAGAGGTATTAAACTAAAGGACAGTATTGGCACAAGCACAAATGAGTACCAATTGGCTGCGTCTAGATTTAGGCTGGAAACTAGAATATTTCTAATCATGCAAGGAACTAGCAGCTATAACAGCCCTTCAGATAAAGAGGCCGAAACATCAGGATGTTACCGACTGCCCGGTTAGCTGGTGAAGGGCGTGATGCAGTATTGTGGCAGTACGCGTGCCACGGCAAGCCAGGAGCCCGGTGCGGTGCAGACTCCTGTACTTCAGGGGTTCAGTAACTTGCCCCAGAAGAGACGGCTGGTGCAAACTCTGCCTGTGCTGGGAGGTTCTCTGACCACGTTGCTCTCTCACGAGGGACAGGTTGTCCCCTGCTGTAGGGAAACCCAGAAGAACAGCAAAAAGAGGAAAGTTTCCTTCTTTTGCTAACAGTCAGTTATGGTTAATGTGGCGTGCCTGATAGTTCCTCATGCGCACCACCACATTTACTGTGGTAATGCCACTATCTTCCCCACCATTAAGTCTTGCAACTAGTAAGTGACTCCTTCCCTTCTTTCTCTTCATGCATCCAACAGGTGTCTAAATGCCGGTGAGTTTTCCCGTAGGTTAGCAGCAAGCAGCTCTGTTTGTGACTCCATGCAGAATCTTTTTGCTCCTGCTTTTACTTTCTGGCCTCTTCAGCACACACAGAGCCTGCTCCAACTCCTTTAAATTATCGGCTCAAATTATCTTCTTGACCTGCTTGTCTGAACCTTTCTGCTTGCTACTCCCACACTGAAGCGAGTTTAATGCTTGTCCTTGCTTTCAAGCCTCTACCTTGCTCCTTTGCTTCCTTCATATCTGACCTGCCCTCTTATCCATGACCTCTAGCCCTTCTTTGTGGCCCCTAATGCTGGCTCAGACCCCTTTTTTGTCTCTTCTCTGGCAGTCACCCACCAACCTTACTTCAAGATGCTGTGCTTGCTCAGAATAATGTGAGCAGTGGGGCAGGACTGAAGCATTTGGGCATTGCTGCAGCTGAAACCCTAACGCTCTTCCCCATCCTGATTCATTGCCTACCCTGTGCTGTCATGAGAAGGAGGATTGTAGTGCTTGCTCTAAGGAAGCAAAACACAACAAAACATTTTTCAGCAAAACTTGCAGGCGGAAACATGCCTTCAAAGCGTTACAGTCCAGTTCACTACGGCTTTTCTTTCTGTCCTTCTTTGTACATACCCTACTTTGTTGCAATAGATCTAAACCAACATGTTATGCTCCTTAGGGCAAGGACTGTCTGTCTTTGTTCTGCAAAGCCTGCAGCACACTTCCAACAATCGCTTCATATTGCCTGACATGGGCAGGAGGGTGAAGAGAGGTCCCATGCTTGAAAGACAGATGTCGTTAAAATACAGTGGAACAGAGTCTGAAGTAAAACACAGTGCAGTGATGATCTAGATTATGAAACAATGATTTCACTGTTGAATGCAAAATGAGTATTGTTGTATTTTTAGTAAGACTGGCGCTAGCTGTGGGAAACATACCCATGCTGACACACGGGAGCAGCGTGAATGCTGCTGTGCTGGCAGGGCTGTAGCAGGCGGTGTCAAGCTCCCTGCAGCCCATCCATCCTTCACCCTCCACTACCCGGCACTCACTCAGAGCGGTGCTGTCTGCCCCCAGCACGCTGTAACGCTCCTCGGCTGGAGCGAGACAGGTTCGGCTTTGGAGGCAGCCTCATAAAACACTGCCTGGAAAGTCCCTGTTTGGGATATTTAATGTGGAAAGGTTGGCCTGAGTTGTTCAAAACAGCTAAGAAATGCAGAAAGGCTGTTCAGAAGTCTTGTCTTTGCAGGATTTATCTGTACAGGGACGTAAAAAGAAGTGCACACATACCTGAGTGAGGAATCCCTCTGCGGCAAACCCGAATAGCAGCCTCTGCATGCCAACCTCGGGTTTACTCGGGGAACGTGTCTGTAGGACTTCATGCCGCTGCAGAAGGCTGAATTTCACTCTGACTGCAGCCCCTGTGCTGGCAGCCATGAGCTGTTTGCGTGAACAGGAAATCCAGCTGATAGTACTGCAGAGGATGGGGTTGTTCTAATGTGAAAATTACAGGGCCAGGGTAGATCTGCTGTGTTTTGGTAGCACCTGTAAGTAACTGTAAGGATGGGAAGTCGCTTTGCTCGTCTCGCAAGCGCAGATTGTGGTGGTGGTGCTCACGCTGTGTTCTCTCATTGCTGCTTTGAACTTAATTTCCTGTTTGATTGTTCCCTTAATCAAAAGAAAATGAACTCCAATTAAGGTATCTTACACAGCATGATTTGTGTCAAATTAAGCCCACTGGTGTACCTTTGAAAAAGCAGTAATGCTGAGGCCTGATTCACACAGGACTTAGAGGAGAAAGGGGTGGATCAAGCTTCTCAAGTAAATGCAGTAGGAGCCGAGTTTGATTCATGCAAATCAAAGTTTTCATATAAGGTGAGATCCTCCTGTTTGAGATAGGATGGGAGACTGACATGAACATTATAATAGTGTTTTGGAAATGAAAAGGGCGTATCTGTGGCTGTATGTTTACCCAGGCATGTTCATGCATGTACTCTTGGTGGAATATACATCTTTTACGTGTACTTACGATGAGGCTTCCAGCAGCCCAAGGAACCTGCAAGAGTGATGTCTGTCACGACAGAAACCGCTTTTGGCACATGAAGACTGCTTGGTTGGTTGGAAGGTCTGTATTGTGTATTATTAGTATACAGCCTTCTAAACTGTCATCCTAGTATTTCATGAACAAACTTTTAATAAGCATAATAAATTAATCTATTGAGAATATTAAGCTTTAAAAGCATCAATTTTGAAGAAGATAGCCTTGGCAGGATGTAGGCAGAAAGCTTAGTTTAAGTCCCGCCCAGTGAAACTGCATTTAATAGTGGAAATTTACTGAAATCTTGAAACTTGAAAGAAGAGAGATTTTAACTCCTGTTGCATGTTCTTGATACAAGTAGGTATTAGGAGTTGTTTAAAACCCAGACAGCAGTTACCCTGTTGATGCATTTTGTACTAAACATACTCTTCATTTTTTCCCTCAAAAGGAAAGATAAGGCTGAAGTGCAGAGTTGGGGATGGGTGAGTGAGCAAACCCCTACTTTAACAGAGTGACAAAGCACACGCCAGTAAGGCATCAGTGTGGGGGCAACCAGCAGGGATTTCCAGCGATGGGCTGTCATGGGAAGGTAACTGGGGTCATTGCTCGCTGCAGTCGGGATGAAGGTTTGTGCGAGTGTCGAGGAATTAAGATCCCTCACTTAGACGCTGAGCGAGGCTGGCTGTAACCCGCACCTTGCAGAGCTGCTGCTGTGCCAAGCAGAGACCTGCCTACCGCTGCTGTCTCTTCTTTTCCAGGATAACCTGGGGCCCCATTCCCTTCTGCTCTGCACCTCTGCAAACCTCTGCTTTGCCTACCGGGAGAGAAAACGACTGAATCGGAATAGCTGTGCTTTCTGTGCTCCTTGAGCACATGCAAGGGACTGCAAGTGAGCAGAGGATTGGGCCTCTGGTGGCTCTCAGTAGGTGACTGTCTTTTAAAAATGAAAAGCAAACCCAGAACAGTCAAAAGGCCCTGAAAGGCAGCAAGAATTACAAATAGGGACTGAAAGCTAAAGAGAGGGAAAATCTTAATTAGATCTCCACCAACCTGTAGAGGAACACATTTGGATTAAAATGAAATGGAGCTTTGTACTCTCAGGGTTTCGGCACAAGAATGGAAGAGGAATTATTCACATTTGCTATTTGTGAAGCTGGATTGCTTTTTCTGTGAACTTGTCTTTTTAACTTCTCACCTTGTCAGAAAATTGTGAAAAGCTGCTGGGATGGTGTATTTGGGGTAGTTCTTATCACAGCACGTAGCAGAAACATTGCCATGGTTTCAGAACATGGGAAGAGTTTCCTATTTAATCCTATCCTCCCCAAGTTAACTCCTTTCCTCTTGTGGTAAGCCAGCCTGTCCACCATTCACCAACCTGCCTTACATTTCACTACCATCGATATTTTCTCTTTGTGAATATCTATCAATATTTAATACAGTGGTGTCGGTTTTGCTGTAAGATGAGAGGAACTACTAGAAACCTTGAATTATACATTGTGTGGCTGGGGGAAGCTGGGGAGAGTTTTCTTTTGGACCCAAAGCTCTTGGAGTTAATCTCCAGGACCTGCAGCTTGAAATCCTAATAATGGATGAGCACCAGAAGAAACTCAATCAGCGGCATGAGGGAAGACCCCGCAAAGTGAGGTTCAAAATATCATCAGCTTACAGTGGGCGAGTGTTAAAACAAGTCTATGAAGATGGGCAGGAACTCGAGCCCCCAGCCAAAGAGCACTCTCGGCGTTTTCTCCGCCACAGCTTTGAGCCAGGGGACCATTTCTGTGGGGCCGGGGAAATGCCAGAAAACAGGTTTTACTCGCCAGCCAAGCTGACTGCCCAGCGGATCAGCATATTCAAAGAGGACAAGAAATACAGTCTCACCAGTAACTCGCTTCTCCTCAGTGACTACCAGTCAAGCGACAGTCATTGCAGGGTAAGTAGTGTCCAGCCTAGGGCTGCCAAGCTTTTTGGAAACCAACTTCAGACTAAACCATTTTTACAGTAATATTGGTAACGGGAATCTCAAACTGGAACCTCATTCAGAAGAAACCTCAGTTTTGTCAGCCCAGGATTTTAAAAGGGTGATTGTAAGTCTTCAGACTTTATCCCACAAATTCTGTATTCTGCTTACTCTGCAAATGGCAGGATGTGCATGTTTTGCAGCAGTGCAGTCAGCAAGTGAACAGCATCTGCTAGCTCTGCTCCATCTTCTCACTGGGTTGATTTGCATCTGTCCATTTTGTAGCATAAGATGTATAACATTTCTGTATATATCAATAACTATATGTAGTAGTCCTAATGCATCTGAAGCAGTCAAATGTAAGGTGGATATTATCTTAATTAGCTATATTTAAAGCATTAAAGTTGCATGACTTCAGCTGGCAAAAGGTTAGTGCCACCGGCAGTGTACCAGTGAGCCTCCGAATGAGGCATCCGCATCCTCTGGCAAGTCAGAATTCCCCTTCGGCTACTTTGAAAATCCCAGCTTAGTTTCACTGGATATTTTGTTAACATTTAATTAATGCCATTGATATAGAGGTGTCTCTTTAGTCCTAATAAAAAGCCAGTACATGTGTAATTTGTTAAATTGATTAATACACAGGGATTATGTTCATTTTCTTACCCTGTCGAATTAGATTTATGTATCTTTTACTGCTATTTGGTTTTATCAAATCTAGATGTATCAACTAAACATTTCATATAACAATGGTGGCATATCGGCACTATTGATAACACAGCCACGTCACACTGATACGCAAACTCTAAATGGGGTACATTATACTGATATAATCAGCAGACTTCTAAAACTTGAGGTGAGCCTGCTCAGAGAAAAGAAGATATAAAGGAAGACTGTGTGAGTTAAGCTGGCTTGCTGAATTGTATCAGGCCTTTCCCTGGGAGACGGCTCATTCCAATCCAGTTCAGACGGAACAACGAGCAGTTAGTGTCAGCGAACGAGTCAGCCCGTTGTCCAGTCCCTCCCTCGCACGCCGCCCCAGTCCTGCAGCACCTGCTTGGTGGTGGTGCCCCAACTGCTTGCAGAAAGGTCAAGAATTGAGGGTGTCTCCAGAGAGAAATGTGAGGTCACTCAAGTACGCCAGCCGCTGCGATATAAAGAAAGTTGTGTTGTCATCCGTTGTTGTCTTTGGTAAATAAGGAATGTCACTCTGGCACTTGCACAACTAAAGCGACTGAAGTGCTTTAAAAAGTATAAAATCCTTTTTATGGCCTTGATTTGAATATGTTAAAAGTCTATTAATTTTTGGTGCTAATCAAAGTTGTGTGTAGGAAACCCAGATGGCTGATATTTGAACTATATTTAGTTGATACACTGGACATCTAGTTTAACTGAAAATATCAAACCACGATGAATGTCTCCTGCCTGAGGACAGAGCACTAATGTGATCTTATCCATACCATTAATTTGTTCTGCATTCTTGGGTAATGCTCATCTCTATTCCCTAGTTTCCCTAACCATAAATACCTTGAGTAATGACACTATCCAGTACCGGTTTTGTTTTGTATCAACATGCATTTGGTATTTGGAGACAGCGTGTATGTGTAACAAACACGAGGCTTTTAAAGCCTCCTGCAAATGGTAAGGATTGTTGCTCCCCCCCCCCCCCCCCCCCCCCCCCATGCCCCGCTTCTCCCCATAGCGAAGCAGGCACCCAAGTGCCAGGAGAGCCATCAGCCAGCTCACATCACCTGATGTGACTCTGGCAGGGTATTTTCCTAGGAGAACATCTCCTTTTGCATTGCTTCTTAACACAGATACTTAAACAGAGCAAAATATGAAACATGTAAAACAATGGGCTATGGTAACTGCCATATGATACCCAGTGCAGAGGGAAAAAGGGACCAGGTAAGCAAAATGCTGCTTTCAGAGAAAGGTTTGACCATACCAAGATTAGCTTCAGAATCATTAGAAAAGAATACAAATTCAAGTGTGCCCAGAGACGGTTATTTAGACTGGCTCCTCACTGTTAGGAACACAATTTAGCATTAGATAACGAGGTGGTTTTTTTTATCATCTGACCCTTTTGCCAGCATTAATAAAATACAAAGAAAAGCTTTCTTTTAAGTCTGAAAAACCCCATCAAAGGCTGTGGAATAGGTCATCATCATGGGGAATTTCTACTTCTGGCCAAAAACATGAAAACCCATCTCCACACCCACCAGCCTCCAACTATTCAACCTTCAAATAAATGTAGGTCAGTCCCCAGTGCAAAGGTTGGTTGCTCTTCCATGTATGTCAACACCACTGCTCTTAGAATTGTGCCTTCTTTTTTTTTCTTGCGTATGGGTTGGAATGAGAATTTACATCCCAGAAAGCTTTCCCTATCCAGAACATGACATTAAAGTGAGGCTCCCAAGATTTGACCTGAAGTCTTGGTCTGATCCCATAGCCCATTAGGGCCGTCTCTCCACCGCTGTTCTCCTCTGGGCAGTGGTGGGGAGCTGGCTTGTGCTGCAGAGCCAGCTGAGCAGATGACCGGGTGGAGGGGATGTTCTTCTGGAAACCCAGGGATCATCAGTGTTTGTACAGTTGAATTTACACAGGCGAGACACTGATAAGATCCTTCTACAGTCTTCCCCAATTCTAGATTTTGGCAAGATCATAATCTACACTAATAACCTGAAAATCATCCGTGCACCAATGGACCAGAAAGAGCTCATGAGAAGAATCATCCAGACTGAGGGAATAAATGACTGGGCCTTTATATACCGGGAAAGGAAAGAAAGATTTGGTGGTGGACATAAAAAAGATGTGGAAAAAAAGGTTGCCTGCAACCAGTATGCACAGGTAAGAAAAAACGTAAAATGCTGCTTTTCCTCTAAGGCTTTTGGGTCTTACAGCCCTGGTTAGACCACTGAGTATTCCCGCCCAAGCCCCATCTATATCTGTATCGGCACTTAACTAAATTTGCATTAAAAGCATCACTTTGTTCCCATTTCCACTCGGGAGATAACCGATCAGTACCGCACTGCAGTTTGCGCTCTGGGGACAGCTGTTCTGTTTCCAGATGCTCACATCTCCCACTTGAGTCTTCCTCTGGAGATCACTGACATTGGTGTAGCTTGGCGTAGGTCCATCCTTCGTCACCGTCTCCCAGTGGAATAAGAGCAGGCCGGAGTTTCTCCAGCCTGACAAGGCTAAACACAGCTGCTCTGTGGTTGAGACTGCCGGAGGCTAAAATTTTAATATCAGCTGAAATAAGATTGTGCCTTCCACTTGTTTTCTCACGGGTTAGTCTTTGTTGGTCAGAATCCCAATTAGTCTGACCATAATTTGATCCCGCAAAACATCATGTTGTCGCGCAGGGCAAATACGAAGCATTACAGTTTTGCAGATCTGAGACCGGCCTGTGCTGAGTGCAGGTTACCTTGGTCCTTCTGCAGTCATGGGCCTTGCTTACAGCTCACTTCCACAAAGACCCCACGAAAACTGAAAACAGCCCTAAGAAACTAAGTAGGAATTTTGGCCTTTGTCAGTTTTGAAATAAACTTGATTTTCAGAGATAAGGCTTTAACAGAAAAGCCAAGATTCATCCCATCTACTGGCAGACGCCTATCTGCGTCATCAGAAAATCACTTCTGGCCTTTGGGGGAATATATGTTGAAAAGGACCTCTATAAGGTAATTGATTGCCTTCCTCCAGTCACCCTCGCTGGAGGAGCGCACTTTAGAGAAGGACAACAGCTCCTGTAAGGCATTGTTCCAGAGAAATTTGTTAACCTTGGAAGAACTCGGCAAAGTACTTCCGTTCTCCTTGATGTTTGGGAATAAAAAGTAAAACCTGAAGGTCATAAACATATAGTTTTTTAGAATAAGTCTGGACATTCTATACGCTGGTATTATGAACATTCACTTAAAGATGACCAAACCACAGGAAGATTATTCTTCTGAGAAGTCAATTAACTTGGACTATCAAATTCAGAAGCAGGCACCAATACGAAGCATATCTGGCACCAGCTCCCCATGTCTTAGTTAAAAACTCATTCTGTAGTGCCATGTAAAGTAGAACTGCTGCACAGCAATGACGCAGGACTCTGAACCTGACATCAAAAGAATGAACCTACGCCGTGCTACGTTCTTCCTGATGCAGATATTTAATAATTTCTGGGCTCTGTGGAAGCACTGAATTTTAAGATGGGATTTGAAAGAGGCTGTCTGGCACCCTGGGAGAGAGTTGCAGGCACAAGGCACAGCTTGAAAGAAGCTGTGCGTGTCAGTGATGAGGGATTCGGGGCGGGGAGAGGGTGAGGAGAAATGCTTGAGGAAATGAAGCATGGCTCAAAACTGAGGATACAGAGCTGAGAAGATGGATGTGTTAAGAAACGACAGGAAGATGGGTGGAGCTATGCAGGCCTTTGCAGGAGGAGAAAGATGAATTTGAAAGTATTGTGTTATAAGCCCAGTCACATTAACTTCTCATTTTCTAGAAGTATCCACAAATTGTCCCCAGATATATGGGAGCCTTTTTCTTGAAGATCTTGCTGTAGAGAACTGAATATTACTGGCAGAGTGGCATGTCAGGAGCAACAATTACTTAAAAAACCAGAAGACAGTATTTCCCTCTTTCAAGTATGTTACTGACTTTGGTGTCTGATATCCAGTGACAGATTTTTTTCGTGATCTGTCTCTTTCAGGAAGGAGATGCTGAACACAGTTGTTCCCAGTGTAAAGGGTCAGGCTCTGCTCCTTGCTCACTGTGCCATGGAAGCAAGTTTTCAATGCTGGCAAACAGATTCAGAGAGTCCTACAGGGCTCTCCGATGTCCGGCTTGCAACGAAAGCGGCCTGCAGCCCTGCCAGATCTGTGCTGCCTGATCAGGACCACCATCTCTGCAGCAGGCTACAAGTACCACAGCAATATTTGGTTGAAAACTTTGAATTATTTAACCCTCAAGCAGCCTCGCTATAATGACAGGTTTTTAAAAGATGGGAAAGGCACATTATACACCTCTCGCTGTAAATGTGAATTCTGTACCTCTGCTACTGACTGGCCCTCTTTGTCTGCCACATATACCTGTCTAACTTTTGAATCAGCCCAGACCCCAGGGTCTGCAGGGTGAACATATCCCCCAATGCTAGAGGAAATTACCAGCATTCGGAAGTTAAGCACCTGTGTAAATGTCTCTGGCATCTGGAACTCAGCCTAAATTTGCTGGCATTGTCCCGCAGTTAGGTATGTGGCGCCTGGCACAGCCAGGTCCTGACCCACCAGATGCTCCAGTAACATCCTTAAAACCAGCAGAAGTAGGTGCAGTTTGGGCACGGTAACGTGTCAGGGTGTAAAGCCTGTTTGTATAACAACAGCAGAGCAGTGCCTCCCCTAGGTTTTAACTTGCTGAACGTTTTAAAATTACACTGTCTTTTGTAGTTACCTGTGTACTTGCCTTGCAGTGTCACAAGCATTTCCCCAAGATTTTGCCGATTCTTACATCTGCTTTAGTGGACACAGTGGTTCCTTTGGGGTCTGATTTATGGGAAGAAACTGAAAACCCTTCCCAAACCTGGAGCTATAAAAAATGTACAATAATTTATTATTATAAATAGATGTTCCTAAGTTTTTAGCCTACTTAAGAGGAAGTGCTGAACTAAAATTCTTCTCTACGATGCTCAGCACTTTTCAGGATCAGGCTGGTGGTGAGCAGGACTTCTGTTGCTTAATATTAATACCATGTTGTAATAAGCAGAAGGTAAACTCTAATTAGCTGAGGTGAAGCAATGACGTGGGATACTTGCAGGCTGCCACTGGTGGCACAGAACAGAGGGGCTTCAAGAGGTTGAGGCAAACAGGGGAAACGGTGTTTTTTTCCCCAGAGTATTAACCTATTACCTTTTATATTCATGAGTAATGTTAATGCAGCCTTAACTCACATATTACCTGTGAGACTCTGATGAGTTAAGAGACTGCTCACGTACTTCATGCTGGGGTTGCAAGCCTAGACAGGGTAATTTATGGCCAAGTTTCTGTTTTCCTATGGTAGGTTGTAAGAGTTCTCTGCAATACTTAAATGATTAGAAATAATGCCGGTTTAGCTCTTAGACTTCCGTATGTCTCCTGCTGAAATTGTTCAGTGGGTACTGAGGGTTTATTTTTCAAAAAAAGTGCATAAATCTATAGCCGATACTTGTTTGGCTTCGTTTACCGTATCAGGATCTGCAACATGAAAAAATGTAGTCCTTTGGGTATTCACTGAGGGCAGATGAGACCTCACAGATCAGAAATTGTTGTCAAGCGGATCTCCTCCCTCCCATTTGACCTGTTTGATCTCATAGTTTTTGGGGCTTGTTTAAAAGTTCGCCATCTTAAGATAAGAAAAAAGCAAGCAGGCAAAATTGTTGCCCGATAGTTTAATGTTTACAATAAAACCAGATGCAAGTATGCATTTATAAAATCAGTATTTATTGTTCTTCGGTAATTACGATGTTTCTCAACCACTGTTACCCCTCCTGGCTGCGTCAGCTATTCCCGTTCATCCTGACACATCACTGGGGCGATGCTTGTGGCGAGGAGCCCGGCTCTTCCCTTAGCCCGGGGTCCGGTGGGCGCCCAGCCCCAGCGGACTGTGGACCGCCGCCTTTGTCTGTGTGCAGCGTTAGAGCTGGGCTGGGAGCGCCGGGGTCAGAGCAGCGCCGGGGGGACCGGCTCCCCCTCCACTGCAAACGCGCTCGTTTTATTTTTGGGAATACTCTGACTTGGATTACCCAATAAATGCTCGCTTATTGGCACGAAGAAGAGGTGTGGGCTTTCCTAAAGTATCACGGTGAGGCCGCTGTCGAGGCAGCGGGTTACTTTGACCACGGCGCTGGTTTTGTTTCTACTGCAGCCAGAGGCTCCTGCCCGTCCCCACCGGGCTCGGCCGGCGGCACATGGCGGGGTGCGAAGGCGTGAGGCGTGACCCCGGCTGCAGCCCCCGTCCGGTCCGGCCCTGGCACCAGCCTGAAGAGGAACGAATCCGCCCGGGGCCATGGCCCGGCCCGCCGCCGCGAGAGCAGGGCCGAGGGCCGGGGGCCGCAGCCGCAGCGCTCCTTCCTCCGCACCCGCGG